AACCCTTCCTCGTGTGCATATGTATGACATCCAGAAAGCAAATGCTGCCATGGTCCTCCAGCTCCAGTTCCCCCTCAGAACCTGAGCTTCAAGCCATGAGCAAAGGCTTCCTTTAGCAATCCCTCTCCACAATATTAATGAATCTCCCCAACATTAATGATAATACTAATTACATTAATAAAGATACCCTGCAATGTATATATACTGGTAACATGACATACTGGGGCATGACTATCTTTGGGGGGGATATTGTTTGGGGGAGGGGATTAGCAGTCTCGTTGCTGCTAGTGCGACTGGTCTTACTAGCTTCCGGCAGCTCTCCTTCCGTCTGCGACATTATTCAAGTATTCAGCGCATGTGCGCATTCGCGCCGAGCCACTCGTCTCAGCCTGGTCGCCATCTCCTGCAACAAGGCTGTACCGCCCCATGATAACAGCCGTGACTCAGGTCAAGTGACTTATTCTCTCTTTGTACTGCCACACGGACACCTGCGCCCACTTACGCCTGCGCCCTGCATGGCATCCAAACCCTCGACGAAAATCCTGTGAACACCCTCTAGACCAAAGCGTTGTCTATACTCATTTTGACTTGTTCTAGTCTATAGACCCTAAACCTTACACCCTAACCTGGCGTTTTCCGAAATTCCGAAAAATTGCCGCCTGCAAATGCGCGTGAGAAGCGCGTCTCGCCGAGGTCCAGGGTCCCAAAGGGGCTTCCTGGCTGTCTCCTGCGGGGCATGGGGTTTTGCTTTAAGGTTTAGGGTTTAAGGTTTAGGGTTCAGAAGATTAACGAACCAGCCATGGTAGCATTGGGCTTAAACGAGAAAGCCCTAAGAAGAACCCTCGAATAGTGAACATACTTTTCGGAGGCCGAGCGAAGAAGGGTACAAGCATGAGCAAGCTCCCGCAAGCGCACCCCAAATCCCAACAAGCCCAATCCGCAAGTCCTAGAACTTGTAAGCCCCAAACCCTCAACATCAAACCGTAACCCTAAACCCTTATAAGCCTTAAACCCTAAACCCTAAATCCTAAATCCCAAATCCTAAATCCCAAACACTAATCTAAATCCCAAACTCAAACCCTAAATCCTAGACCCTAAACCCTGATCCCCGATCACCTCGAAGAGGGCCTCGGGGAAGAGTCAACTTGCTCTGCACCTGCCAGCTCCTGTCAAAGCAAATCAGGATTCAGGGCTTAGGGTTTAGGATTTAGGGTTTAGGGTTTAGGATTTAGGGGTTGGGATTCAGGGCTTAGGGTTTAGGATTTAGGGGTTGGGATTTAGGGTTTAGGGTTTGCGCTGGGTTGCTGTTAAGGAACTTAGTTTAAGGGTTTAGGGTTTAGGGTAGACAGTAAATCATCGGGGTTCCCTTTTGTAGTAACTTCAACTAAGTTCCTTAACAGCAGCCCAGCATATCTACAACGACGGAGATGCCGCCATGCCAAAAAAACTATTAGGGGGTTCGGGTTTCAAGGTTCATTTATACGGTGTTTAGGTTGGGTGGACCCCCCGACCCAGTAATAGTGACTAGAATGGGGGCTCATTTGATTATACTCGGGCCCTCTTATATTCCTATCACACCACTGTTACGGGGTGGGGGGGTTTAGGGCCCGGGTGGGATGACTTTTGGATTTAGGGTTGAGGGATTTGGGGCGTCGATTGGGGGTTGGAAGGCTACTTACCCCGAAGAACGTGTAACCCAACGTGGTAGCCAACCAGGGGAAAGCAACCCATAATTATACATGGACTTCACAAGCAGGCAAGAAAATCGTTCAAAAGCCTCACAAGCCGTCGAAAAGGCCATTATTCACTGGACCGTGAAGTCTCAATCCTACTTTCCCCCCTAAATCCCTAAACCATAAATCCTATAACCTAAGTCCCTATGTAAACACTAAATCCCCAAACCCTAAACCCTAAATCCCTGAACTTTCGCGTTCATCATTCGAGGCGCGGAAGGCTCGGCTACCGCTGTGGAGGTAGAGGCAGTGCCGGTAGAGAGATGACGGGATCTCTTGTGGGCCTGCAGTTTAGTTGAGGGTTTAAGGTTTAGGCTTAGGGGTTTTGGCGTTTAGGGGATTTAGGGTTTCCAATTTAGGGTTTAGGATTTAGGGTTTAGGATTTAAAGAATTTAGGGTTTAGGGTTTAGGATTTGGTGTTTAGGGGTTTAGGATTTAGGGTTTATAGGGCTGGGCCTGACATGTCCTGTGATCCCCTTTGACCTGTGATACAAATAGTCTTCAAAATCATTCCTAAGAGCTAGATCCCGACATAGAAGTGAAAATACCTTTGAGGACCCCCACCCTGTAATAGTGGTATAACAAGAATATAAGAGGACCCTAATATAATCCCTATTATCCCTGATAGTCACTGTTACTGGGTGGGGGGTTCACCTAGAAAATACCTCCTAACAAGGAGACTGCAGCTTCTACGGATTTTGTCTGGATATGGGCTGAGGGTACAAAAGAGGCTATTTGTACATGTATACATATGCATGCAGTACATATTGACTCATTAGGTTGTGTCAGGGTCTGGGCTTAGTCTAAGCTTCAGGCACCTTTTTTGGAATCCTTCTGATAGCTTTCAAGGGCATAAGAAGATGTGAGGTAACACAAATGAGAACCCGAAAAGAATGCAGGCAAAATGTAGCCATCCCACTATCAGGACTGCCTAAACCTGAAACCTTCAACCCTAAACCCTGCACTACAAACCCCAAATGAGCCATAGCCTAAACTCCTAGCATCCCCTTTAATAACCCCTATACTAATCCCCGATATAATCCCCTTATACAATGCCCCTTCAAGAAGTTTAGACTATAGCCTCAAATTAACCCAAACCCTAAATCCTAAACCCTAAACCCTAAACCCCCCGAACATGAAGCCAGGATGCCTTCGGTGGACCCTCGATCTTCCTCACTAGCTTCTCTAGGTCGCGTTGCTCTGGTCGGGGACCTGTGCTGTATGAACACGGCGTGAGCTTAGGGCATATGGTTTAGGGGGGTTTAGGGGTTGAGGGCCTAGGATATTTTAGGATGGTCTAGGGCTCATTGAGACATGTATGGCTCCATATGTAAGACAAAGAGTTTTCTGGTGAGGTCCTTTACTCTTTCCTCATTGGGGCACCAAGACACACATAGCTCTATGTTTCTGAGCTGACGTTCAGGTACTTTAGGAAGAGGATGTTCAACCTGGACACATTTTAGAGGCGAGAAGAAGCCTACAACAAGACCACGATACAGATCAAAGGGTCCTAACCCTAAACAATCCAAAACCCTAAGACCCTAAACCGTAGCATGAAACCAGCAGCAGAGAAACAGTGAGACTAGCAAGAGCCCGAGGCAGCTGCAGTTTCGCAGTACTTTGTGGCAATTTGGGGCAACCAAGGGGTTACTCATTACGGGGACACAGTATATTCGGCATGAATGTATCCCCAAGGTCTCAACATTTTTGACGTTTCCTTCCCGGGCCCTTTCCTACAACCCTAGCCATGATCTTTTCATGTGAGCTATAGTCTAAACTCCTCACAGGGGGATTGTATGGGGATTATATAGGGGAGTACTATAGGAGCTAGGATAATCTAAACTCCTTAAAGGGGGTTATGCCAAGGATCTTAGAGGAGTACTATAGGGGGCTTAGTAAGAGGGATGCTAGGATGTAGACGAAAGCTCATATCTGCAAAATCCCCAAGTCCCCACCAAGGTTTGGGGGCCAAAGCTCTAAACCCTAAACCAACCTCATGTTTAGGTCCATTTGAGCTACGTGCCCTATACCAGAACTATACACAGAATCTGCGCCCATAATATTGGTAATTCTTTGGACCCCTACATACCCCCCCAAAAAACAGAAAGACGTGGGTGTCTCCTAAAGTTAGGGGTACCTTTTTGGGGGTCCTTGCACTAAGGACTCTAATATTTTGCGGTCTATAACTGTTGGGTCCCCTCATTTTGGGAAACTAAACCCTTAACCTTAAACCCTAAACCCCAAAACCCCAAACTCTAAACCCTAAACCCCTAAACCCCCAAAACCCTATCTAAACCCCACATAACCCTCCAAAAAAACAGAAAGACATGAGCTATAGTCTAAACTCCTAGTATCCCCCTTAATAAGCCCTATAGTAGTCCCCTATATAATCCCCTATATATTCCCCCTTTAA